TCAATTCAACCATATAAAATTTCAAACTTTACAATAACTTTTAAAATTCTATTTCTTTTTCTTTCTTTTACTAATCGAAAATTAATAAATCATATACATATTGGATACCCAATATATATATGGTACATATCAGATATCTGATAGGTATAGAAAATATTTTATATATATATTGGGTATCTGATAAATATAAAAAAATATTTTTTACACCTATCGGGTACCCGATATATATCTGATATTAGGGACATACCATACATATATTAGATACCTGATGTGTATATAATTTATCAATTTTTAATTAGTATTTCTCTTTCTTTCTTTTTCTCTTTCTCTCTCTCTCTTTCAAAATAAAATCAATTATCCTTCTTTAAAATTTTCAATCTATTATAAAAATATTATAGTAAAAAATTATTCTTTATTATATAAAATCAATTTAAAAACAATTACTTTTAAATATCAAAAAATAATTATTCAATAAATTTTACAATTATACTAGTTAATTAGAATTGCACCAGAATTTAACTTTTGTATTAGCATTTAACTATTGCATTCAATTGAGTTAGAGTTAATTCCTGGACTCAATTGACTAAATTAAATCTAATTAAATTCTTAACTTAATTCATATTATGCCTCACATCTCTAACTATATCAAATAGTGATTCTTATATTAAAATTAGAATTCTTATATTATAAACAATTAAGAATTGCTAAAAATTAACTATATTATTATATCCTATATTATAAATTAATTAAAATTAGAATTGTATTTGACTTGTGTCAACAATAATAATTATTAAAATATAAAAATAATTATTAACTTTAAGATTAATTATATTATATAATTATATACTTTTATTTATCTAATAATAATTAAATTTTATATATAATATAATATAAGAAAATAAAGATATTAATAAATTATTATAAAAAATATCAATACAAAACTAGTATATTTATTAATATATAATATTGTTAAATTTATTTAGTAGAAGTAATAACTTTTAAAATTATTTACAAGACAAAAAAGAATCAAATAAATTAAAAAGAAAATATAATATCAATAAGAAAAATTTAAAAATAAATGAAAATTTAAATAGTAACAATATAAAATTAATAAAATAAAATCTAATAATAATAACACAAATTAAATATGAAAGAATAAATAACTAGAATAGAAAAGAATAAGATAATTAATTTATTTGATTTTTCATTTTTATATATTTAGAAATTTTAATTTTTAATAATTTTAGCTAATGATTTTTTTTTTGTTTTAACTAGTATAAATATTAACAATAAAAATATTTTAAATTTTAATTTATAAAATAATTTAAAATTTTATCTTATATTCAAATTATAAATAAATACAAAGGTAATTATTGTTTGTTAAGGTGATATAAATTTAATTTATATTTAATAAAACAAAAGATCTTACTTTATCAAGAATTAAATAAAAATATTTTATGACACTATGCAAACATCATTCTATAGCATTTTACAAATGGTACTAATATTTATATAACATACTAAATATACTGTTTTAGGACATTCTATGAATATTTTATTCATATAACATATTAGAATATACTGTTCTAGGATATTTTATGAACATTTTATTTATATAACATACTAAAATTGACATTTTTAGTACATTATTTGAATATTTCATTCATATAATGTACTAAAATGTTTTTATATAATTCTAAATATTATATATATATATCAAATACAAAAGATATACCATATCAAAAAGAAATTCTGATTTTAGTTAATTTATAATATAGGATGTAATAAAACAGTTGATTTTTATTAATTTTTAACTAATTTATAATATATAAATTATTATTTAGTATAGTGATTCTCTTGTATTTAACTAGTGATAAAAAAATTTCAATTTTTTTACAATGTAGAAAACAAATAAAAATTTAAGATACCAAATTTCAAAATACTTAAAGTTATATAATTTATTATTAAAATCAGATGGTTTTATATTAAACAGATAAAGATAATCCTTAATCTAAATTCTTTTTAAATTTTATTGATTCATAATTTGACAAGTAATTTCATGTAAGAATTCATTTGACATATCTTAAATGACAAATATAAGATAACAAATATGATTTTTGCATATAAAAAAATTCTAAGTTTCTAGAATATTTAATAAAAATTAATATTCAAAAAATATAATATAGTGATAAATATATCATCCTTGAAAACTCTAACCTTAATTTATGTTATTTAACTTAATAATATGTGAAACATAAAATAAGAATTTAAACTTTTAGGTTTAGATTAAGACATTAGATAAAAACATTTTACAATACTATATGAATACCATTATATAGTGTTATTCTAACAGTACTAATATACTAGAACACAATATTTTAGTGTGTTATTTAAATATTTCATATTAATAATATATTAAATATACTGTTCTAATGTGTTATTTGAATGTTTTGCATTTGTAGTATGTTAGAACACAACATTTTGATTATATGTGTTTTCAAAATTAATTTCTGATTTTTGAAATATTTCATTTTTTTGAAATTTACTTAGAATCTATTCTATATATGAAAATAAAAAAAAATATCTAATTGAGTGTATCTTTAATTAAGAAATTTATCTGGGTGATCAAAAAATTTTGAATTTTAAGTAAAATAATTTTATCTTTTATAAAAAACTATTTTGATTTTTTTTTTTTAAAAATTGTAATTTCAGGGTTCCAAAATAATTTTATATACAAGTATAGTTCTAGTATATTATTTAAACATTTATATTTATAGTATACTAAAATTGATATTTTTAGTGTATTATTTAAATGTTTTATACTTATAGCATACTAGAACATCTCTATATAATTTCTGATAGATTAGATATGATAATAAACTATATAGTATAAAAAGTTATTTTATATTGTATGATTTTACAAAGATAGTTATAAAATTTATACTTCTTGTTTTTATTGATAAAAGTTAAGGTTAGGTTACAGGTATAAATTCTTTTTTATATTATCACTGGTTAAATGAATAAAAATAAGCAAAATTTTTAACACAAATATATAGGAAAATTTGTAAATAGGCAGGGAGATTTGTAGATGATATGTAAATAGGCAAGGAGATTTGTGATGATATGTAAATAGACAGGAAGATTTGTGGCCAATTTGTAAATAGGTAAGAAGATTAGTAACCAATTTGTGTTAAAAATTTTGTCATTCAACATGTATATATATTAAAAAATCAACCATATAGTTACATGAATTTCAATTTGTATAGTACAAAATAGCTTTTCATACTGTACAGTTTATCTGTATACCCATTAAAATTTTTCTATTATAAAATCAAAAAATTTGTTATTAAGATTATCTGATTAATTATTAAGATCATATAATTTTTTATAATTTTTAACCAATCAGAAGTTATAAAATACTGGTTAAATTTTTTAATTTAATAATAAAAATGATTACTTTTAAAAGAATTTACCATTGCCAAAATCTAATTAAACAAAAAATTCTTTCTGTAATTTTGTTCCTCTAGTCTTCATTTACATTTTTACAATAAAAAAAAATTATTTTCAAATGTAATTTTATTTATATGAATAAATTTAAAAACATCTTATTTTATTTGCTGGTTTAAAGTATCTTGCACTGTATAAATTAAAATTCTTATAAATCAACTACTTATACTTAATCTATTTCTTTACTATTATACTGAATTTCTCTGTAACCAATTGAAAGAACTATTTATTATTTCTTGTATTGTTGTCAATTTATTATTAACTTGCACTAGTCAAATGAAAAAAAAATAGGTAAAATTTTTGACATAAATAAGTAGAAAATTTTGTAAATAATACACAAATAAGCAAGAAAATTTTATGAACAATATGCAAATATGTAAATAATATGTAATAGACTAAGCTGATTTGTATCAAAATTTTACTAATTTTTGATTATTTGATGTATGTTTGGAATTTATCCTATTCTTTTTTATTTGACTAGTGCAAATTAATAATTACAATAGACTAAATGATAATTTTTTGTATATTCTTTTATATTTGTCCAATATCTTTAATTTTTCAACTTGTCTTTTAAAAAATTTTATTCATCTCTAGAATATTTTCTTCTTTTCTAAATCAATCTCTTTCAACTTTTTCTTTTCTTTTTCTTCTTTTTATTACTTAATTTTGTTCAACTCATTCAACTTCTTTGACTTCTTTTTAGCTTCTACTAACTTTTGTCTTATTTCTTCTATCATTGTAAGTAAAGAAGTATTAAATTTAGAAATTTAGAAATTATCAGTTCAGTATTTTTTTTTTTACAATTGAGAAATTAAAACTTTAGATGGATGTATATTATTTATTTCTGATTTTAAAGCTATTTAATTTATTTACAAGTATTACCTGTAATTAAACAATAAAATAACCACTTGTTATTTTCTTTTTTTAAACCCAACGGAATTCACTAATCTTATGAACCTGATTTAGATCCTGAACTTATAATCCTGTTAATATATATTATATATTTTATCTTTATATTTACTTTAATCTTTAACTTTTTTTTATAATCATTATACTTAATTAATATAATAAATATTTATTACTATGTATTATTGTTTTGTGAATATTTTATTCTTGATAATTAAAAAAATTTGACATGAAATCATAAATTTACAAAATATTTTATGCATATAAATATATAGAAAGAATGATGAAAAAGATTCTAAAAAAAAAAAATACTATCCACTTTTTCGATTTTCCCAGGGTTATTTCTAAAATACAGAAAAAATTAAAGTATATGATATAATAATTACAGAAAGATATATAAATTCTTACAAAAGAATTTTTTCACTAATGTATATTATTTGATAAAAATTTCCCAACAAAAAAAAAAATTGAACTGTAATTATAAACTCCTTATAATTTAATTCTTATAATTTAATTCTCATTATTCAACAAATAATAAAAATGAAATTCTGAAATAGAATATGAAATAATAATAATAATAATCACCTTTAAGTAATTTGCGAGAGACATATTAATATTTCTACACCTTTCTGTAAATATCTTCTTCACTTTCACCTTGATGCAATTCTTCAGTGTGCCTATTTTCGTCATCATTAATTCTTCCACTTCCCTCACCAATCTCTATTTCATAATCATTATTATTATTACTGATATCATTATTATTTTCCCCATTTGCTGCACCTTTTCCTTTGTTCTTTTTTTCCTCATCAGCCATTTCAACTACATCCTTACGACAATTTGGACATCTCCTATTCATTGCTAACCATGGATCAACACATTCCCTATGAAAATGATGTGAACACCATAATCGTCGAAGTTCTTCGCCATCTTCGTATGATGAAAGACAGATAGCACACACTGCATCATCAGGATTAGGAAGAATCAGGGGCTCTGGCGTAATAGGTGAAGGATGTGTTGAACTTTTCCCCCCCATTCCAAATAGATTTTTAAATTTGAATTTTTTATGAGTTGCAACAGGTGGTGGATGTTCCGGTGTTGGAACTGTCATTGGAGGAGTACTAGATGGTGGCATCGTAACGGCTTCTGGCTCCGTTATTATTTGTTGATCAATCCCTTCGTTGGCTTTATATATTACCAATGGAATCTTTTGGATTATATCCTCATTAGCACCAGCAATACCAACTGCCTCTCCAACACGAAGTACTCTCATCACTACCAATACACATGGTAAGCAAAATATTACTGCGATGCATAATATTATCGGAATGGTTATAATAATGTAACCTAAGATGACCCATGTTAAAGAAAGATAAAAAATTGCGGGTGCAGTATCTTGGCAGGAGTTGGTTGTAAAGAGAAGGTAATTTCCAATAATAAACCACAATGTAGCAAAAAGATCCAAAAAAGATTTCAGTCTAAAGCATTAAAAAAAAAGTTATTTAAATTATCAATAAAGAAGATATAGAGGATTTAGAGGATTGTATATTAAATAAACCTACTTATCAACCCAACTGTCCCTTCTTGGATTATCATGATTATTTCTATTATCTCTCGGATTTAAATATAGATATACATTTACTGGACACGCAATTATTACTCTTACAATATAAAGTTCAAGGAAAAGGCGTAATGGTCGGTCGCAATCGCAATCTTTAGATATTACTAGAACAGTGATCGTGATAACAACCTATTAAAATTTTTCACAAATTAACAAATTATTTCAATACATATAACTATTTCGACTTAATATATATATTTTTTTAATAAATAAATTTATTACCTGAACGAATACTGTTATTAACGATAATATCAATAACACTTTTGAAGTTCTAGAGATCGCTCTAAAAGATTCCACTATATAGTCCCACCAGTTCTGTCTGACCCGCCTCGAACCCCGCGCTGTAGCTCTTACAGAAGTTGTAGCAATAGAAGAACTTGGGGTAGAAGATAGAACTGATGATAAGACAGCGGTTCGATGCTGACTGCGAGTGATTGGCGACGCAGTTGAAGAGGTACCATTGTTGGAACGAAAAGCTGCAGTACTCATTATAATTATATTATCGTATAAGATATCTATTATGGACTTTCTAGATAATCGTGGGGCATGAGAATTATACTTGAGATCGTGACGACCATAAGGCTTTCTCCGCGCCAAATATCACGAGGTTACTTGAATAATTATATTAAATTATATTTAGATACACAAAAATGGTAAATGGTTAAAAATTTTATTAAATAATCACGTGCGCTAACCAATTGATCAATGGACTTGTGGGTCTTATGAGATAGATCACAAGACGTGATTTGTCCACGAGGTAGATTGAAATTTTATTATCTAATTATCAAAAACGCAAAAACGGGAATAAAATCAGGACTATAGATGTTCACATAAATGCAATTAATAATAAAATTTAACAATTTTGATTTATAAATATGAATTGAACTGGAGATATGGTATTTAAATAACCCATTTCGATGATATAAATTCAGAGCTTGTGAATCAGTTGCTTCAATGAATCAATTTCGGATTAACTTTTATACATACAATGAATGTATTGACTGCAACTGTTTTTTTAATTTAAATCATTGATACGCTATGCATTTTTAACAAGACTTTTCTTTCTATTTTAGAAATACCTTAGTAAAAAATCACTTCATGTTTCATAAATTTCAAAAAAAAAAATTTTTATACTGTTGGAATTTACAAAGATAAATTACAGATCTAACCTGAGCTTTAAAGAAGATACAAGAAAGAATGTTAGATGAATAATAGAAAATCAAGGACAATAATACTTTAATCAAATAATACTATTGTAAAATAAATAAAACAATATTAAAAACAATCAACTATCCAGTTTTTTTTATTTATTTATAAGTTATACACTTTTATTATTTGTCACTTTTTATACAAAGTCAGAATTAATGATGCTGGTGAAAACTCAAATTTCTACAGAGTATTTAAAGGTTATAAATGTCATCCAAATTCAAAAATAATTAAAATAGTTTGAGATTGGGTAATAAAATAGGTTCAAATTATTTGAACTTCAAAGATTAAAAAAGTCAAAAGTTCAAAATATTTTTAACAGTTCAAATTATTTTTGACAGTTCAAATGTTTTGACAGTTCAAATTATTTTTTACAGTTCAAATTATTTTTAGCAATCCAAAATATTTTTTGTATTTGGAAGCAGAAAAAATATTTGAAACCTATTACTTATTTAAAATATCTTTTTTTATTAATTTTTTTTTTTTAAAAAAATAAACTTATACCTTTTATCAAACTTGTATATAAAGATAGTTCCTAATTATTTTTCAAGTTTTTAATATTGTAAAATTTTTAAATAGAATCTTGTTTGCAGATATTTGTATAATAATGTTTCTATTTTTAAAAGATATCTAAATGAAATTAAATTATATAATAGTTTTGTAATAAATAATAATTACAAATTATTATCGAAAACTTTAAATCACATCAGTAGTGTTGAATGCCATAATCTATACTGCAGAGGTTAGAGTTAGGATTTTTCAAGGGTAATGTATTTATCACCATATGTCATGCCCTTTGAATATTAATTTTTATTAGATATTCTAGAGAAAATTTTTTTTTATGTGCAAAAAGTATAATTGTCACCTAATATTGGTCACTGAATATTTATTACATGTGAAATATTTTCAATCACCTGAATATCATATGTCTGAAATTAAATCATATATTTTATTTTTATTAAAAATAATCACTGGTATTGAATACTATTGGTGTGATTTAACAATATCAATTATTATTATATGATTTATTATTTATATTTATAGTAATATTTTTTAATTTTAAAAAATATAAATAAATAAATATAAAAAATAAAAAAAAATAAAAAATAGAGTTATCTATATCAGGAAATTTTTTAGAATAGTAAATTTCCAGAAATCTTTTACAAATTTTTGAATATTTTTTTATTACAAATATTTTTGAAAAATTTTTATAAAGTTTTTTAAAATATTTTACAAATTTATAAAAAAAAAATTGATTTTTTTAACATATTACAGAAATTTATATATAAATATATATTTTTATTTTCATTTTTAAAAATTTTAATTATAATTTTTATATTGTTATTTATATCATTACAAGTATTATCTTCCATTGTTAACTGTAATCCAATCTTCAAGGAATACAATTAACTATTAGCTAAAGGTACAGTAGTTAAACTAGAATATAATAAACTACTAACTAATTTATACTAAAAAATATGCTGTTTGAAGGATTTAGATATTACGAATTTGTTTAAAAAAAGTAAAACTATGCGATTTTTATAAGGGTCTGACTAAACTATTCACAAAGAATATAATTAAACTAAACTAATAATTTCTAATACTAAATAAAGAATTATAACACAAAAACAGTATACCAAAATCACAAAGCAAGGTATAATCCAACAAAGGTTTTAATATTTATCTAGGAATAATACAAAATTTCATTAAGAAATTATAATGGTATAAATAATAATTTATTAAGGTATTTATTATTTATAAGGTAAATCACAAAGTATTTTATTAACAAGAACTAAGAATTAACTACTGAACTAGTTAAAGAGTTAAATTGGAACTTTGAACTAAGCAAAGAGAAATTTAGCCCTTTATATACATAATTGAAGTTATAATATATTACACTGTAGACTATACTAATGCATATATTATTAATTATGCTGATCATCAGAAATTTTTATATAACGTTCTATAACATTTTACAAATGGAACATTCGTATAACATTCTATATATGCTATTCTACAATGTTTTACAAACATTATGTTCTAGAATGATCTGTTCTATAACGTTTTACGAACAATAAGTATAAATAATATTATATAACAGATCATTCTAATACGTTTTGTGAACTATCAGTATTAATAACATTCTAGAATGATCTATTTTACAACATTCTATGAATGATAAGTATAAATAACATTATATAATAAATAATTCTAGTATGTTTTGCGAACTATTAGTATTAATAATGTTCTAGAACAATTTGTTTTAGAACATATTACAAAGATACATATTAATAACGTTATATAACACAAAATATCAATATTAATAGTTATATAATAGATCATTCAAAAACTTATACTAGTGTGTATCATATAAAAGTTATCAATTCTTATAGTTACACTATATTATAGATCGATATATAACAATTTTATTTATTATTATTTTTTTTATTCAGAGTATAATGAAGGATATATGTTTCTTTTTTGTCTGATATGTAAATGAAGACATCATATTAATTTTGTTACGACATGTACACTGGTCGAAAATTGATAAATAATACACATATTAAATACCCGATATGTGTATGGTACGTCCCTAATATCAGGTATATATCGGGTGTAGAAAATATTTTTTTATACTTATCGGGTACCCGATATATATATAAAATATTTTCTACACATATCAGGTACCCGATATATACCCGATATTAGGGACGTACCATGCACATATCGGGTATCCGATATGTGTATTATTTATTAATTTTCGACCAGTGGTAGCAAAAGTTTTCATTAAATATAATAAATATTTAATACAAAAATTAAACTATTTATTGTAAAATGTTATATATTAAAATTTTTATTTTTCCCTACAATTTATTATTTTTTTTTAAAAAATTATCTTTTATTTATAATGTCTTTTTAAATATTAGATGCTATATCTTTCATATATATTTAATAATTTAATGATTATTATTTAATATGATGATTAAAAATAACTATGCATTGTATATCGAAAATTTTAAAATAAGGTATTGTTTTATAATTAATATGATAATAATTTAATAAGTATTATTTAATAATGAATATAATGATAATTTAATGAGTATTATTTAATAATAAATATAATGATTAAAAATAGTAATATATTGCATTGTATTTTAAATTAAGTGTATTACTGTATATCGAAAGTATATTTGTATTGTTTATTCAAAGTTATTAAAGAATAAGTTTTCTTTCAAGTCTTTCAATTCAAAATATTTATTTCAAGATAATAATATTTTTTCAGAATAAATTATAAATAAATCTTTTATTTTAATTATTATAACAACATACCTAGAGCTAAATATAATAAAAATTTATTTGTTTCTGCTATTGTCAGATTTACATTATTAAGATCCATCACATCAAGATGTACAAGATTTGCTGCTAGAACAAATCCAAATGTATTATTTGTAGTTGGTAAAAAAGAAAAAAGAGGAACAACCAGAACAGAAACTAGTAATTAAATTATACATTTTATTTATTGATATATTATATTACGAAAACTTTAAATCACACCAGTGGTGTTGTGTACCATATCATGTGATCATATGACTTAAACGTGATCCTATATAAACATAACATAAACGAATATGATTGATAAAAAGCCTTCTAATAACGTGATTATATAAATATGTTTACATAATCAACACACCATACTTCACCATGTATAACACAACGTTTTTTTCCCACGTTTCTCCTTCTACCTCTCCAACTTTTCCTCCTAACTTTTCCCATAATGAAGTCTCTCCTGAGGTGCCATTAGAAGAAGTGCTCGAAATAGAGCCGTTTGACCAAGTACCATTGGAGGAAGTGTGCGAAATAGAGCCGTTTTACCAAAATAGTACTCTGGAAGATATTCCTTCTAACGAACTTAATGAAGGTGTACTTCTTTACCCAATAGCAACAGAGATGTCTTTCAACGATTGG